GGTGGTCCTCCTTCTGATGTCCTGCTGGGGCGTGGCTTCCACGAACAGGCCACCCCGCTCCAGGCCGAAGCACTGAACCCGGCTGGGCCCGAGGTCTCCGTCCCGCACCAGCAGTCTCAGCTCTCCAGTTTTTTCCAAATAAATATTGGCCCCAGAGGAGTCCCTGAAGGGCTTGATGCACACGGTCAGGTGCCGGGAGGGGGCGGAGTTAGGCCGCAGGTTGACGATGAGCGCCCCTGTCGGGTAAAGCCACTCCACGGAGCCCGCCGAGCAGCGCAGGTACACCTGCTCCACCTCCTTCCTGTGCGCCTCATGGGTCAGCCCGTTGCAGGGAGAGGGTGCACTCAGTCGGGGCCCCTGGGGCCCACACGCGCTGCCTGCCAGGCCCCGCACACCTGGCAGCCAGCCTGCACAGTCTGTCGCACCAGGCCAGCGCCTTCTCCGCCCTTCAGGGTGGGGCCCAGCAGTCAGGGCTGCACACCCGCCCCGCCCCACGCACTCCCAGCCGGGATACCGGCTTGAGTTGGCCCAGGCTGGCCAACGCTCTGACCAGCGCCTCGCCAACTCTGGTCCCTCTGGACCACAGAGGGCTGCAGCAGCAGGGACCCAGGCGTCAGCACTGTCCCTAAGGGAGCCAAGGAAGGGGTAGGTGATCCGGAACATCGTAGAAACACCAGACTCGGCACCGACCCGCATTCCCGAAGGCCACGCAGGTGCCAGGACAGCGAGGAAAGGGGTGGCAGAGCCACTGAGGGAAGCGTGGAACCAGCAGTGGGTTCAGGCTGCAGGGCCCAGGAGGTGGGCACCGTGGTGCACACCAGACCCCAGCTAGCCTGGCCTAGCCCGGGAGGCCTCTCCACCACTCCGCGCAGTTCAAGGTGGTGACAACTACAGTAAACCAGCTGGCACATCACAAACACGAGATGACAACAGGGTCAGCGTTGTCCCGCAGGGGGAAGCGCGCCTGGTCCCACTTCATTGCTGCCCGGATGAACGCTCCACGGGAAACCAAGTGCACGCTCTGGGGGGCGGGCAGACACAGCGAGGCCTTTGAGAAACCGACACCATCAAAGCAGTGCCATCACCCCACTCGGACCCTCACGCTAAAGGCAGCTCGTCACTGCGACCACCGGCAGAGGGCCAGCCCGACTTCTCACCAAGGCTTCACTACTTGAAATTGGTTCTGATCTGGTCTTAGACAGGTTCACCCACATTCTTAGGGTTTTATGTGGAATAAACAAACTTTACACAGAGCCTGGCCGAGTGAGCTTCCAGAAGGCCTCTAGGGGACAGGACACATCACACACGGGTTGCATTTACTGCTCACGACTCTGCCCTGGGCCCGACCTCACTTACGGGGCTGCAGTCACCCAGCAGATCACGTCGAAGGGAGGTGCTGCGTGAGCCCCGCCCCGGCCTGCCTCGGCCACGGTAAGGCCTGCTCCAGGGCGGGCAGCGGCTGCAGGCAGGGCTGCACAGGGCACAGACATGCTCGCCAACTGACACGCATGTGGGGAGGGTGTAGTTTCGGGGCCCGTGAGAGTCAGACTGCACTGTGAGTGGCCGACAACATGACTATGAGGCGATTACCAGCCCTGCTCTGACAGCCAAGAGAAACCTCACCATCCTGCCCCTCCTCTCCCGCCCCCAGAGTGGAGGGGGGGGCGGG